CCTCTTTTCTACTAGCCATTGTTTTGCTGTGTCTGTGACAAATATTGTGTCCACGTCTATCAACCTATAGTCTTCAAGCTTCATTTTTATTTGTCGCTCTCGAAGGTTTAAATTGTAATGAACGTATACTAGTTTATGAAGCTTCCCCGAAGCGAGTCGATTCCTCCTAGTAGTGTACAACTATTAGAACGTACTCCAATTTCGCTCACAGCCAGTAGCAGAACATGTCTGAGAGAGCACTTTGATTGCTATCCTCTTTAGGTAAGGTGCATCACTACCATATATCTCCCACTATTCAGCTGGATTAAAATGCAAAAAGCATTGTAACGGCAAGAACAATTCATAAGACTAAATATATGAATGAACAAAATATTAGTTAGGGGATAACCTAGATCCATCTTAGTTCAAGAATTCTTGGTAAGTATAATTCTGAAAGATCCTATAGCATCCCTATACATAGCAAGCTAAAACAAAATATTTCGTTTTAGTGTATTATTCCTCACAAATATAACAACTCAATCAAGTTCTTACCCAAATATTAAATAATACCTCTTGTATTGCTGCTACCTGGTTTCGATGGCTTCTCTCCAACCTGGCAATAATGTATCTGACCCCTTCCATAATCTTGTGGGGATGTTTAGGTGTCAAATAGAAAAATTTTGGGTTGAAGTAGTAACCTAGAAAATATATAGATAGAGAAATGTCATTTAAAATTTCATAAAAAAATAATTTAGAATGAAACATTCTAATGATATAAATATATATTTACCTGCATAATGAATTGAACGTCCAAATTTGGTGTTCCATCTTCTTTCTATAATCTCGATCACTTTATTAGCAAACTACACTTCTTCCCAATAGTTGATTTGGCCCTCTCGATACCTTCATAAAGGATGCTCATGGTAGCTTTCTTATCAGCATCCACCATTCTTAACATCGTGACTAAAGGGGCAGTGTCCTCTACGATATTGGAACATCGAGACCAGAACCTCCTATTCGAGACTATGCCGTCCACTTTTAGCCCGGTACTAGACTTCGAGAGGCGGTCATTTAACCACTCTTCACTGGTAAATAATCTCTTTATTGTACCTTCAGATTCTCGAATGGAGTCCACAGCCAAGTAATCTATCGTAAAGCGGGTTATGACATGCCTGATTATCTCTTTTTTCTTAGACTGTTTTCTGAACATAAATAAAATTTTAAAATGGTTATATATAAATCTTGACACCAACTTCTCCTGTAAAGTCTCCTTCACAATTTTGATCTCATCGATCTCCTTTAACATAAGATCGATGCTGTGTGCAGCACACGGGGTCTCTATTAAATGCTTCCTCTTATCCATCAACTTGCTGCTAGCAGAAACACATGCACGCGCATTGTCTGTAATAAACTGGACGACATGCTTATCTCCCACCTCCTCCACTATCTGATCATATAGTCGTACGTAGAAGTTTGCATCTTTCTTCTCCCTGATACGTTTTTGCTAGACAAAAAAGCTGTACCTTTTTAAGGAATAGGCCAAGAAGTTTACAAACTCCTTTTAGCTAACTTTATTCAACCAACCATTACTCATGAGAGTAATGCCTGTTCTTGGCCAACTCTGTTTATATCTTCAATCCACTTTCTAACTTCCTCCACCTTTTCATCCAATATTGGCCCACTGAGCTCATATGTCGTCGGGGGTTTTACCTCGAGCTCGGCCTTCTGGATTGCGTTGACCGTAGGTGGAAAATATGGGCTATTTGCATCAAAGGGGATCCCTTTATCGTAGAACCATTTTCCTATATATCTGCCCAACATGTTTTTTGTACCCTTTACCATGCCTTTGAGGGTCATCTATTCTGACTTAGGCCTTGAGAGAAATGGGTCTATACTACCATGACCTGCAATACTAGCACTCCTAGATAAGCTAGAAACAATTTCTTCAACATCTGATTTCCTTTGATACATATTGCCACCAACCACTCCATACATATTTGAGCTGGGCCTGCCATACATGCTCGAGCTGGGCCCGCCATGCATGTTAGAGCTAGGCCCACCATGCATGCCCATGTCATAACCACCAGGATTCTAAACCCGCGTTCCCTCTGGTATGTTTCATATAAACTCATTCTTGTGGCCATCTTCAACTCATTGTTATATTGCTCTTCTAGATCATTCTCGCTTGATGGCATATATAAACTAGCTATCTCTTTATCTATCATGTACTTTACAATTTTTTTACCTTTGGTAGCCTTGAGAAATGTCGTCATCTGCTTTCTTACATTATTAGGGACACTATTGCACGTAAAAACATCTCCTTTAACCACTACCAAGTGTTGTTTGAACCTATGTACCCCACTACTTATCACTCTTTGGAAGTAATTACAAATAATTTTGTCTTTTTTGTTGGCATCAAGTTTGACACCATGTTGCCATGCAGGGTCTTCCGCAGATCTTGCCATAGTTCAACTTTAATGTGTAAAAGGTTAAAAACTAACCTGACAGTTCAACATGAAAAAATAATCACCATGTGTAGTGATAATATGTAGGGGTAGTTCATGAAGTTATATTTTTTGTTAATGCAAAATACTTCTATTGATAAAAATATTTTAATTCCCACTAGGAAAAATAATTTATTGTGCAATATTATAGATAAAAACTGACCTATATCAGCCACTACATATAGAACAATAAATTTACATTGATATAGTA